AAAAATAAGAATTAAATGCTATTATAAGCACTACAAAGACATACATATTCATTTCTCTAATCATAAATTCTCTTAAAATAAAATATAAATTCTTGTCATCTGTGAAGAAATATTCTGAGCCATTGAATTCAACACACTGCAATCATTAGTGCTGGTCTTAGCAAGATACCAGACATGAGAACAGGGCTCTAATTTCTAATCATTCTGGACAACTTACTATAACTTAGGCTGAAATACAAAAGCAAACTGGACAGATCTTTTATATGTTCCCCACTGACCTCCAGAGATGGACTTGATTAAATAGATAATCAGAAGCGGTACTGTTGTCGGTAATTTGTTGTGGGGCTAAATGTATGCTTTAAACTGAGTGATGAGACTATACTCAATTTAATCAGATGTTGACTTTTATTAAATATAAAACATCATTACTGTTTGGCCAGCATTGGCATGCTTTGCAATGAAGAAACTCCACCCAATATAGCAACACATTTAGGATGATGAGAAAGTCTAGTGAAGATCGAGAGTAGGACAAAGTGATCTGTGGAGTTTTCCCCCTAACTTTTTCACTCCCACAAAAGGCAGGTCCTGAGAAAGGAAAAAGACTCTTCTTTACATTTGTACAAAAGTTAACATCAGAAAAATAGTAAAGGTTGTGTTATTTTAATCTTCACAGTGTGGAACATGTCTGCAATCCCACAACAGGTTTCTGAACATGTATAACTGAGAGTTAGAGACTACCCTGGTACTTGAGAGGAAAAAAACACCTATCTCCAAAACAATAACACCAGAAGGATGGATCATACTGTGCAGAACTTGCTTGTACATTATATCTAGAAGAAAACAACAGAGTATTACATGTCAGAAGCAAATAGATTCCTAACATTGAGCCTAACAAAGATTAAAAGTTTTAAGTATAGGCTCATATTTCCATGTAATATTTTAATATAATAAAAACCTAGCAATTGAAACACTCTACTATCTGATTTTCAGATGGGATAATTTTGATAATTTCTTTTTCTTAGTTGAAATTTGAGAGAACTCAAATGATGATAGGTTTCTTGTTTCAACTAGTTTTGTTGACTATCAGTAAATAAACTATAAAATTCCCAAGTGACTTTAACTTATATAATTCTTCCACCATGGAGTGGTAATTATTATCAATTTATTTCCCAAAGGGAAAGTTGGGTCTTAGAAATAAAATCTTCACCAAGATTTTGCTGTATGTGATTACAAATTATCCACTAAAAATTAACATTTTATAAGAATACAGGAAAATGTCTTGTTCAAAAGCCTGCTAAGATGCAGCATATAAAAGACAATAAAATAAATTGGCAAAATAATTTAGAGAGTAAACTCACCAGTCTGCTTGTATTAATAAACGTGACTCCCTAGAGGAAGTCACTAGTACCATGTTTACAAACACAACTTCTCTGGCTAATTTTCTTTTGTTCTTTTGTAACCTTACCCAAATAATTTTTAATCCAGAAATACATCATCTGGTGATGTCATCATTGTGGAATATCATGTGTAGTTATAGTAACAATGACAGCTACAATGTTTATTAGATGACTTCATCTAATGAGCTCATCATAGCATATTAAGCCCTACTTTGACTAAAATGTCCATAAACAGTAAATGATTCTATAAGAATTTAGAAACCAGTAAGGGCTAAATGATAAGTGCTTCTTCATGCATTTTATCTGGTATTAACACTCAAATTCTTTATGCATTGGCTAGAAATTAGAAAAACAATGCTCTCATAAGGAGCTGACATAATGATCCTTATAAAGAACACAGTACTAGCTATCATAGTAAGTGTTTAATAAATTTTGTGATCATCATATATCATATCAGGTAACACGAGTCAGTTTTAAAGTATGCTAGACAGTACCTTCTGTGAAGATTTGCTGTTATGCTATGTGTTATCTGGGAAAATCACATATTTAATCTTTGTGATGTCACTATTCCATCTTATGTGCAAGAGACAATCGTGATGTTAGGATCTAATCTCAAGCATATAAAAGATTAATGTATTTATTTCCTTCATGTCTCCTGTTTTAAGAAGGATATTTGGATAATAAGACTTATCCCATGTACTCATTAGAAATAAGAATGTTCACTCTACTGCAGACTGCATTGTACTCTTAGTTGGTTTACTATTGTTCACTGTATGTCATAGGTTACATTTGGGACTAAATTACCTTATTGTCATTATTTGACAGTAAGAACTGTCTTTGCTTGGTCTTTGCTGGACACGCTGTTTAACTTGTAGCTAATAGGTTAACTGACTCAAGGTTCCAGAACTGACAAATTTAAGATCCATGGTAACATCTGGACCTTCTTGCCACATTATGGGCAAAAGAAAGTGTAATAAGTCACAGCATGTAAAAAGGAGAGAGGGAAGGAAGCTAGTATCATTTACAAAGATGCCATTCCTGTGTAAATGAACTCATACTCATTACTATGAAATTAATGTATTCTATAGGACAAAATTCTCATTCCCTGCTCACCTCTTCAAAGATTCTACTTCGTAACACTATTGAACTGGGATTCAATTCCCAACACATGAACTTTGGAAGCACAGAAAGAGCTATAAAATTCAAATACCCAGGAACAACACAAATGTTCTTTACCCACAAAATGGTGCTCCAATAAGTCTGCAACCAAACCAGTATGTATTGAAAATATCAAATCAACAATGCATTTTAAGGCCAGACATGGTTGTTTATGTGTTTAACATCAGTGCTCAAAAGGCAGAGCCAGATGAATCTCTTGACTTCAAGGTCAAGAACAAAAGTGTTCCAGGGCAACAAACACTGTACAGCCATTCTCTCTGTCCCAGCAAAAAAAAAAAAAGCACCTACCCTCCAAAATACCATACTCTAGCATTAGCTACATTAAGTGTATTTGTAATACTTACATTAGCCTAAAGTTTGACAAAAACCTAATATAAGCCTAATAAAAAGCTTAATATTATGTTTGACTATGCAGATTACTATGCATTTACCCCTGTGACCAGATGGAAGACACAAACCTGTTGCCTGCAACCATTGCCCAGCAACAAGATATACCATCAATTCAGAAAAAGATCAAAATTTAAGGAATATTTTCTATATAATTCATATCAGCTTTATATAACTGTAAAGTACAAGAAGCATATGTCTAATTAAGTGAAGGATCATCATCAGTTATATATACACTATATACACAAAATCCTGCAAGTGCAAAGGTTCAACTTGATTTTGATATTAATATAATCTTGTGTGTCCAAGTGTGCCTATATGTTTGCAGTACAAAAAGTATTGTTTGTCAACTATTTGATAAATACAACTAATAACACCTTCTTCATAATGCATATAGTTTGATTATGCATTATAAAATCTACACTAATGTAGTAACTCTCTATATCAGAAAAAGGGAGAATTTTTGAAGGGCTGGAAAAATGGCTCAGTTGTTAATTATGCTTACTTCTCCTGCAGGGAACTCTGTCTTGGTTCACAGCACCCACATGTGACTCACAGCTATCTGTAATTTCAGTTCCAAGGGACCACTGTCTTCTTGTGACCGTCACAGGCACCATGCATACATGCAGTACACATACGTACAGGCAAAACCCGAACAAAAAAATAAAATAAAACTAAATCTATTTATAATTTAAATGCAGCAAAACTCTGATGATATATTCAGAAATGCTGGGCCCATTGTTAATATTCTTTCTAGTAAAAAGAAGATAGAGACGTATATCACAATTGTGATGACTGACATCTTTGTAGGAAAACATTTTCATAAACTGTCTAGGAAATTTTTTTGTAAAACGTTTCAAAAATAGATCTTTTTCTTACAAACATAAATGGATGTATTCTTATAAAATATCTCACAATTGTACTCTCTTGAACTCTAAATTCTTAGGAATTCATAATTAATGTATGTACATGCCCTTATAATTTTATAATTATAATTTATAATTTTATAAATTTTAAGGTCATAATTTTAAGGTCATATATATTACAGGATATATGCATGTGTTTTTATAGCATTTCAGATATTTCTATATAAATGAAATGAAAAGAACAACTAAGGCATATGTGAATGAGTTTGGTAATCTTTGCTATGTGTCTATTATCGTCTTAATATTTTTAATGTGAAATATTCTACATGAACCAAAGATTTTTTATTCTTAGGTGATGATTCTACAGATTGCAATGAGTGAGCTTTAAAAGATTTGTAAGATGATCAAAATTAGTGTAAGCTCTATACACGTTGTGTGATTTCATGGTAAACAGATCTGCAGCTGAAGAGTGCAATCAGATGTAGAAAGCCACAACTGAATGACAGTGCAGTAGTGGAGCATTCACTTTTCCATGCGGCATTTGGTTTCAGATTCCAAGTTCTCCACATGGTAGAATCATCTTCTCTAAGTTACTAACTATAGCTGAGTCTCAGTTTCTCAATCTATAAAATAAAGAAAACAAGAACTGCTTCAGAGGTTCCATGAAGGTTCCTTTCTATGAAGTGAATGAAAGCTAATGACCAGGTTTACATTTCATTAATATATTACCATTCTAAGTTAATTTATGGAATTGTGTCATCTCCTGAATCAAGATCCACCGAATTTGAGAATCTATATACCCTAGAAAATTGGAGAAAGTTTGTCCCTTCTTTTATTCTTTTAAGAGATTTTTCTTTTGAAGAAAATAATTACATATGAAACTCTGGTAATAAACTTTAAAAACAACAAATACTTTATTAGTATCTGTTATCATTCATATTATCAAATGCTATAGGTAATTTGTTTACATTTATTTTTTAATTGCTGTGTCCAAATGGATATTTCATACCTTTAATGTAGGTTAGGGATGTTTAAAGGGAAGCTTAGTGTTCCAGAAACATCACCTGAACTCATTTAGAAGGAAATATGGCATGAATAAAATCAAGAATTAGACGTTTGGTATGGGCTTAAGAAATGGGCTTAAACTTTTAGAGTTTAATAAAGACAGTGCTTATATTTTGCTTACAAATGGAAAGATGTTTATTTTGAGAAAACTGTGATATCATGCAGAGAAAACAAATGCCTGAGATCCCATACACTTGTGAGTCAGCAGATGTAAGAGCAAATGGTCATCAGAATTATACAAATATTATCTATGCTGAAGCAGTTGATGTGTAATGAATTTAGGTGTTTACAAAAATCAACATGCAAACATATTAGTAATAGTATTGAAATTTAGAGCATACTATATTTGTTTTATATATACAAGGTGAGTCACATTCATATATCAATTTATAATTCATGATAAAATGCCATCATACCTTCCAATACAATATCAAGAACTTACAAACCTTTCTATAAATTATAATTATACAAAGAGCAATAAATATTAATGAACTATGATTAAGCTCCATTTTGGGATTTTTTTCAAATTAAGGTACACACACACACACACACACACACACACACACACATGTATATATACTAATTATGGATAAAATTTACTCAACAGAATGTTTTATTTTATTTCAAATAATGGGAGTTTGATTATTACCCCTCACTAGATTACAGGGTCATTATGGAAATGTTCTCTATGATTTAAGATAAAAGTAATTTAAAGTAAAGATGCCACATTTGCTTGTTGAAACACCTAAATCTCAAGGGAATTTTTAAACCAATGTTAGCAGGAGATATATGTGAGTTATGTGTGTGCAGTATAGATATGTATGGTGTAATGTAAAATTCTTCTATTCAGATAAAAGTATTTGCTTTGCACTTCAGTCAAACATGAGTTCCCCTGATGAATTAGCTAGAGATCAGTATAAATATGGAGATTTTTAGTTCTGCTTCGCTCATTAATAATGGAAAAGTTTCGAAAATGGTATTTTCCAAGAATCAATTCGATGGTCTCCAATCACAGTGCTACTTCTTGCTTTGTGCTGTGTCCATTGAGCAGGACAGAATTGGTCACCACATTCTTTGTGTTGCTTTTCAGAGAGGTCATTCTTACTGCTGAAGAGCTGAGGAGGTAGCTGGTGGACCTCTCAGGATAGGACTTCCGCCCGCAACAGAGCTGACTGTTGAAGTGCTTCCTGAAGCTTTCGCTGAGCAGGTAAAGAGCAAAGGGATTGACACAGGAATTGCTGAAGCTTAGAACACGGGCCACTAAGGTGACAATCATGTGTCCGAGAGAAGGATCGATCTCCTTGTAGTTGAAAGACCTATACAAGTAGAGGACGTGGTTGGGAAACCAGCAGAAGACAAAGCAGCCAACAAACACCAGAACAATCTTAGCCAGGCGTTTCCGTGTCTCCATCTGTGAAGAGCAGAAGATGGAGTCAGCCACAGCCATAACTCTTGTCACAGAATCAAGAAGGCTTATCCGGACCTTCTTGATCCCAAACGCAAGAACTGTTTCCTTACCTCATTACCTCATCAAAGTGATTGCTCTAACGGCTTGACCAGGACAATTTTGATTACCACTTCATTTTCTTCTGAAGATATTTAGTATTTAAACAAGATCAGATGATAAATTATAAATGACTATCTTAGTGTCAAAACAGTAATCTTAATGAATGCCTTAAAATATTTTCCTTTTACTTAAGATAGGACCATGTTAGTAAAATCATAAACTATTTTGTTTATATTAAACATATTAAATTAAATAAAATACACTCCAGTGTACATATTTTCCAAATATCATATATTTAAACGAGAAAAAAATGAGCTGATAAGATAATACTTATTTTTACTCTATATATCACTATCTATTTATCTCCCCTGCTCCTCTTTCTTACAAGTAGATAATAAAAAATCAAATAAATAGACATGGAGATTTAGGCCCCTGACATACAAAATAATTTTTTCCTGGGACTGAAGGGATGGCTCAAATCATATACTGCCAAACCTGACAGACTGAGTTCAATAGTCATGACCCACATGGTAGAAGAAGAATAGTAACTCCAGGAAATTGTCCTCAAGTTGTTATACACACATTATAGCATGCATACATACACACATGTTTACACACACAAAAATAGGTAGGTGATAGATACATAGATGATAGTTATATGGATGGATGGACAGCTATAGAAGATAGATAGATACTTAGAGTTATAAATAATAAATTATATAAATGGGTGGATAGCTATAGATAAGAGAAACATACATAAATACATACATACATACACAATACATAGATAAATGATAGAAAGATAGACAGACAATAAATAGATACATAGATAGATAGATAGATAGATAGATAGATAGATAGATAGATAGATA